TCACTGCTTCTCTGGGTAGGGTCCCATTCACCGCTCTTCTCCCTTGATGGTCCCAGGGACCTCCCCTCCTTACTATAAAACGTCTGCCTTTACATTTCCAGCCCTCACAGTCAGTCCTGATAACAATTATTCACTATTGTATCACAAGAGACCTATCCGCATTTCATTGCATCAGCCCCGCCTAGACAGATTGGCTACTCCTCAGTGGAGATTCTACCTTCCTCCACAACCCTCTGGATCTAGGTTTCCTCTTGAAAGCTTGTTAGGGCAGTAGCCCTTTTATTATTCTTGATGCTGTCTCTTCACCCAGTTAATTTTCATTTCAGTTTATTTTGTATTTTCTTTTTGTACGCTATCTTAAATAAGTGATTTCAAAAAGTTCATGGAAAAATATAATTTTTTTTTGAACTTTTGATTGTGAATTGAGTGAAGGTTTACAGAGCAGATCAGTTTTACATTCAACAAATCATTCACTTTGTTTCATTTTAATGACTGCAGTCTCTGAATGGAGTGTCACTTACCCCACTTCCTCCCTGTGATATGTGTTTCCATTTCGCATTCTTTCCCAATCCTTCTGAAGTTTGTCCTTAGGTAAGGGCTGTCCTTTGCATCTTGAATGGTTGGCCATTTCATGTTGTGTGTGCCTCACTAATGTTGTCCCTTACAGACCTAGCTACTGCTTGGCTGAAAACTGTCACAAGGGTGAGTTCAGCTCCAGACCTGAAGGGTGACCAAGGGCCATATAGTCTCAGCTTCTCCAGTCTCTTTCTCACCAGTAAGCCTGGTCTTTTTAATGATTTTGAGTTTTGTTTCCCGTTTTCTCTCATTCTATCCAGGACCTTCTAATGTGAACCCTTTCAGAACAGGAGTGAGCTAAGCACCATCTAGTTCTGGTCTCAAGGTCATTCCCTAAACTTCTTGAAGCCCCCTTGTATTGGTTGTAACAAGGTGAGGAGCTGAGCGACAGAGATGTCCAGGTTAAACTCCTGGAGCATAGCTACTCTGTGGGGCTGGATAAGCAGAGAGCTTTTTAGGAATTTAGCAGTCTTTAGAGCTGGGGAGAGGAGTCTATCCTCTTGTTTTTGTTAAAATAAAGGATTTATGGCCCAACAAAAGCCTAAGGAGCACTCTCAAACGCTTTCCAACCTACTCACAGGCATGGATGAAGGAGTGTTTTTGGGGTGTTATTAAATTATAGGGGCAGTTTATTATCCACCAGTCTTCTCTTCTTCTCTGGAGGTGGGGCATAGTAGGCATGTATCAACCTCGTCTAAAATTCACATCAAGTCAGTAACTACAATTTTAAAAGGAGGGAGGGAGGAGTATAAGAAATAATTTTCTCTGACTTGTTGTAAAATAAGTTCCTTTATGTGGCCTTTTGCCTTGATTCTTTGGGAAAGCAGCCTGAGAGATGTTCCCCCTGAGGAGTTAGTTACCTTTGCCCTGGGTTTCTACCTTAGAGGGTTTGTGACTTTTGTTCAGGTTGATTGAAGTCTGGGTAAGCTATGAACAAGGGCAGGTTGATACTTTATGCCTAGCCAGCAGCCCTGACCTGTGATTGGTAGGCACTGTGTAGGGACAGGTCAATAGACTATGCAAATAAAGTGAGTCATAACCTACTGGAGGGGATTGGTCAGTTTGTGGCCCTAGTGGGCATGCCATGCCTTGAAACTGACAAGGAGCTTTGTGTATTTAAGTAGCCAGTCCCACAGAAGTTTGTAGACAGGAAGAAGCAAGGAAAGAAGGTGGGAGCAGAGAGGAGGCAAGAAACTTCCTCAAAGAGTTGTAACACTGGTCAAGGGCTGTAACACTGATGACAGCAAGAGACCTACAAGGGGTCCAGTGGCAGAGCCATCAGTGACAGCAGGACCAAGAGAAGCATGTCCTTGCAGGGCTGAGAGGAGGCCTACAATGGTCACAAGGTGCTAAGAGAGCTGCCCTTCACCGAAGAAGAGAGACTTAGTCTACATGATTCCTATGTTGTACCCTATTCCTCAATAAACCCGTGAACTGTAAGTATGGCTGGTGAGTTCTGTGAGATGCTGCAGTGAACCCACATGGAGAGGGAAGCGTGACTGGCGTCAGAGACGGAGTGATACAGAAGGCAGAAATCTCTGCCCTCTGCATAGGAATTGGCTTTGTGCTGATTCTTGTTATTTGAAGTTACTCATAAACCAATAAAGTCTAATTTCGTCTACAGAAAAAACTGGGTTCTTACTGACCTTTAGGAGTCCTGGTGTGATGCTGTAAGTAAGCACTGGACTGCGAACCACAAGGTTGGCAGTTCAAACCTCTCCTTGGAAACCCTATACAGGGTCACTATGAGTTGGAACCAACTCAATGGCACTTAAAAACAACTGAATTTGATTCTTGTTATAAATGGAATTCTGCATTTAATCCATGTTCCTTCCCCATTAATTAGTTCCTGCTAAGAGTCAAAGACTAAGGAAAATAATAAAAGCCGTAATTCATTTTACATTATTCCCAACAGGAACCGAGACTCACCTCACTAAGCACTGCTTAGCTGCAAAATGTTAACACCAAATGATCTTGTATGTTGACCAAAGTGATAATAATGACATAAAAAAATATCGAGAAACCCTTTTTAAGTGAAAACACTACTTGATAAGTGCCATCAAGTCAGTTCCAACTCATAGCAACCTTGTATAGGATTTTTGAGAAGGGACTGGTGAATTTGAACCACTGACATTTTGGTTAAAACTGACTTTGTAGTCCAGTGTTTATCCTACATTGTCACCAGAACTCTGAAAACACTGCAGAGGCCCCAAAATTAGCCTATCTAATGAAGACTGGGGAGTCCTAGTGTGGTGCTGTGGGCTAAAGAAGTGACCACAAAGTCGGTTTGAACCGCAAGGCTGGCAGTTCAAAGTCACCAGCCTCTCCTTGGAAACCCTATACAGGGTCGCTATAAGTCAGAACTGACTCGAAGGCACTTAACAACAATGAAGACTGGGGATCAGAGAGCTCAAGGCACGTGCACAAAAGAGGAAGATGAGAAAGCAAACAGATCTCAGCACTGAAGACACTGTCTCCGAAGGCACAGGTAGACGCTGATCATACCTGTTTAGAGATAAGTGCTACTTTAAGGTTAAGGTCAAGGACTTCAATCTGACTTGTGTTATTGTCACTAGATATTTTTTAAACACCTGCTTTGAAGTATCATCTCAGTGAAATGGTAATGGTAGCTGAAATAAAGGGATTTTTAAGCAAGGGGAGATACCGCCCCTCCCATTAGCTTGTTAGATTTAGCATACAGGTCAAGGAAAGCTAGAACCGTACAGATTTTCACTGTTCAAGCAGAACTGCTAGCAAGACGGTAGCTAATGATGCAGTTAGCTGGCACAGTTTATATAGGACAGTCAGAAGTCCAGCCAGAGCAGCTCAAAACTAGAGCAGAATCTTTTTGGCTTATGTTTAACATTTACTCTCTTCTCCCTGGTCATTTAAAACCAAAATACACCTTGCATCAGAATGAAAAAGCTGTTTTGTTTTTGGTCATACTCAGCAGTTAAGTAATTTGTTGAAATTAATTTGACAACTTTATTATTATTACCATTGTTCTGCTCTACTGTAATATACCATAAGCATATGATCATAGACAAAATTTTAAATAGCTTAACCCAACTTTTCACCTGTCAAATGGGTCTGTTTCCTTATGAAAGCCCACTGTGCATTTCTGCACTGCTTTGCTCCCTTTCCCTGCCAGAGCAGCCTCAATGATGTTCTGAAATCACAAGAAATAACTGAGCCAAGCCATTCACCCCTCACTCACTTTATTCAGACACCTGAGTGTACCTCTCCCCTAACAGGGCAGGAGACGGTCTACTCTGTACAGTTCATTCCTCAGAGTCAGGAAAGCCCCATCACTCCCACATCCGTGAGCAAGGAAAAACTTGGAGGAGTTCCTTAATGTAGCAAGCACAGCAGCACAGCCAATCTGCAATGCTACATCCACAAGCTGCCAGTTCCTACTTCTCCCTTTCTCTCCCCTTTAACATTTCCAAGGTTAGATCAGTAACATTTACAATCTGCTTGTTTAAGAGCAATACAGTGCTAATTTATATACAAAACTGAAAATAAATATTGGAGTACCTAAACAAGGACATTTTTCTCTAACTCTAGGGTATAAGATGAGAGAGGTTATGGGGTACCATGAGATAGGCAGATTCTCTTTATTCAAGTGTCAGACAATTCAGTAGTTCTAAACAGGCCTCCGCTCTCAACCATCTGAGGCAAAAAGCCTGGGCAGTGGCCCACAAACCAAGACTGAAATGCCCAGCTGGTTCCTGAGAAGTGGAAACAAGGGTTGGGTGGTCCGGCCTAAGAAACAGGAGCATGAACTAGAGACACAGTTGTAAGAAGTTTTGACAGCATCCATGGATTCCTCAACCAGAAGTTACTTTGGAGAGAAACCATGAGAAGCTGGATCAGTCATCCAACCTTGACTGAGGATGGATCTGATTTCTTCCCAACATCAAACAGCAAATGCCCTCACAGGACCGGAGTTGTCATTAAGAGCTCCTGTCTGACTTTGTGGCAGAAGGAAGGGAACAGAATTTATAGAGAAACCTGGGAAAACAGAAAGCAAACCAAAAAAATCAAGTAGGGCTCACAAAAGAAAAATCTGTTTGAGATCTTATAAATTTTTTTTTAGAAAAGGGGGAGTGGGGGACATTCATGGAAGTGCTGAGGAAAAGGTGGCAACGACAGCCTTTGGGCTTCAGGGGAAAGTCCGTCAAGACGCTTGGTGATTGGTTCTAGCTGAGTGTGTGCGTTCAGTCTATGGCAGCACGTGCATTGACGAGAAGGTCCTCTACCTCATCACAGCCTTCAGTGAGATGAGCATCAACGAATGTGTCACACTGCAGCCATAGCTGCTTAGCTGGCCTGTGGCCTCCTCGGCTCTCGGCTCTCAGGTACTTGGTGTTTGGTCTCTATCGCCAGGCGCGGTTCAGGAGTTTCACCTGTGCCAGTCTCTTAGTGATCATGGTGGCAAACACCAGGCCAAAGAGGACACTGCTAATTAACACGTAGTCATAGTCATCCTTCAAGACATCAAACTGTTTGGATGGGTAGACTCGAGTTTGGTAAATGTCCAAACCATATGCCACAACCTGCAAAGGCAGAAGGGAGCCAGAATTACGTAAGGGGGTCTACCACACGCTCAAACTCAGGTAATAATGGTGGCATCCCCACAGTGAAATAAGGAGCAGCCATCACACGGGCGTCTGTGGTGAAGGGGGCACAGGCTGGACTATGGGCTCGACTCACCAGGCAAGTGGACTCCAGGCCTGAAGGAGCTGTGTAGATACCTCGCATTCGAGAAACTGTCTGGTTATAGTTGATGAACCGCTCTGCGTGTATCTGTACGTCTGGAGAATACGGGATTAGGTTCTCCTCTCTGCAAAACACCAGCAAAACAGGCAGTCTGAAAACTGTTGCCCATTCTGAGTCCTGCGAGCTGTTCAGGCCTTCCAGGGAGGTTTCAAAAAGGTTGTGGAAATTTCCGTTATCTTTTCAGCCCATTTCTCCCCCCACTTTTAGGAGCCCCTTGAATCTCACCTCAAATCTTTGGTAAAAGTCTACTTGCATTAGATAGTTAAAAACTAATCAGCTGAATGTTAGCAAGGACTGCAAGAAAGAAAGCTATCTGGAGAAGGACAGATAAATGATTATCTTCAATAATAATTTTTTTTTTTTTTTTTAAGTAGCATACAGACAGTGTGTCAGACCAGAGAAAAGTCAGGGTTGTTCCAAGACCCACCCTGAACCACTAGGCCGAGCCTGCGCTCAGAGTGCCCTTCCAAGTATACTCTCCTTGGAAAACCCGCATACCCCAGGATTTTCTGCACCTTAACCTATTCTCTCTCATGTAGTCCTCAAAACCACACTTTTTGTCCTCATTTGCCAAAGCAGATCTGCTGTCTCCTGCCATGGCCACTAGTCTCTCAAGCCCTTCAGAGAATTCACAATGAAGGTGAACAAAAATATGCATGAGAATATGAAAACAGGTAATAAGCTACTGGCTTCCCTATATGATCTGGTCCCCATGACCCCCTCCCTGAGCTCATTTCCTGGTCTCCCAGCCACACTGGCCTCTGTACCCCCTCCAACACGGCTGACATGGGGGGAGACTTCAGGGCATTTGCACTGGCTGCTCTGCTTCAGGTATACATGGGTCTACTCTGTTCATTTCTTGTAGGTCTTTACTCAAAGGTTACGTGTTCAGAGAGAAGCTGCCCTTTCTCAGTGTCACCCATTTGTCCCGTAGTCCTTCACAGCCTCAGCCCTAGTAGAGTTTTCTTTCGCCTTAGCATCTACCATTATCTAACGTACTATATACTTGCTTATCTTGGTTACTGTCTGTCTCCTCCACCAGAATGTAAGCTTTATGAAGGCAGGATTCTTTGTCAGACTTGTTTACTGCTAGATCCCTAGCTTCTAGCACAGCCTAGGGCACACAGCATACTGAGGAACAAGCTGAATCCACAAGGTCACGTTCCTTCAAGTCAGCACCAGACACAAGTGCCGCACCTGCTCTGTTCTGTTGGGATCTCAGGACGGCGGGGATCCAGCAAGGCCTTGGGAAGGGAGAGAATTGCTCCTGAAGGTAGCCCAACTGCACAGGAAGAAAACATACATGAATGTCCATACTGATCCAATTCTACATTAGAACCAATTACAAAAATATCACTACAGAAATCAAAAGTAGAATCTAAAACAAACAAATAATGGTTCCATTGGCATCCATGAAGAGCCTGGTGGTGTGGTCGTTAAGCACACAGCTACTACCTAAAAGGTTGGTGGTTCAAATCTCCCTGCTGCGCCACAGGAGGAAGGTGTGGCCGTCTGCTTCTAGAAAGATTTATAACCCCTAGTCCCCACAGGGCAGTTCTACTGGGTCCTGTACTTGGAATCGACTTGTTGGTAATGGGTTTGGGTTTTTTGGTGGAGGAACCCTAAGTATCCAAAGCCAATAATCCAATCATACACAAGTCTAAATGAAAGTTCCACTTTTGAAGATACTGATTCCTTTCCCTGTCATCCTGGGACATCAGAAAATAAAAGGCACTCTTTCTTCTGCTCGCTCTTCTTTTAAGTAAGACCTGCCACAGCCAAGCCAAGTCTCCTTGCTGTTAAACCAGATGCTACAGTTGTGAGGCCGGGGCAGGCTGGAGGACTGGGCAACACAAGCTCTACCAGCTGCAGTAGTGGTGGTGATGAAACTTGCCAATAAAACAATGCCAGGAGCCTGTCCAAGTTCGGTGTCACAAACATCTTTCGTGTAATCTACTAAACAGAGCAGCCTGCTAATTAATCAGTAAGTCCTGAACTTGTTGTTAGTGCCATCAAGTCAGTTCCAACTCATAGCGACCCTGAATAGGGTTTCTGAGGAGCAGCTGGTGAACTTGAACTGCTGACCTTGTGGCTCAAACCGACTTTGCAGTACAGCTCGAAATCTTAGGTCACACCCTGGTCCATAACCCAGCAGCACAGATTATCTATATTAAGCATGATGGTGGGGGCCAGTTTTCTGAGCCAGGTGGGAAGGTAGGACAGAGAAGGAAAGTGGTTTCTCTGAAATAAGGAATGTGAGAGAAATGGCTATCTTTTATAGGTGGCAAAGCCCGATTAGGGAACATTTTCTGCTGTAACAAAGTCCTCTCCTAGCCTTCCCTTGGTGGTGGTGTAACAGGGCTCCCCAGACACTCACTCAGCAAGTGTCGGCTGGTGATGCCCCGCTCCGTGATGGTGGCTTCCATGGCACTGATGGAGGAGGGGAAGATGTAAGACTGCTGGAGGACCTGGGGCAACTGCGGGCGGTCCAGGGAGCTGAAGGCCGTGGCGTTGTACTGCTCGGTTCCCTCGTAGAGTTCCAATGCGGTGAACTCATTGCGCCGAGCCTTGGTGTTCCAGTACTGATACTGCAGAGAGAAACAGGGCCTCAGCTACTGGTTCAACTAGAAAAGACAAGTACACTGGGAGGCACCTTTCTAATTAGCTTGGGATCCAGCAAAGAAAGAAATCACCTACCACCCAGTTTTCTTCCACACTACCGAGTTTACATTCAAGGTAGTTTTATCTAGGCTATCCAATGTTCATCACAAGATAAAGGGATTTGCAAGATTCTCAGAAGTCAATGAGAGTAACTAACAAATGAATCCAGGTGTTGTCGGAGCGAGACTAGAGTTGACTGCTACGCTTCCTCTTTCACAGATGAGACAGTTCAGGGAGTTTGACTAATTCAAGGTTGTACAGTCAGGAAACAAAAGCCCTGGGATTCAAACCTAGCCTACCCACTACCAGGACCCTGTGCTGCCAGCCAGGAATTTTGGGTTCTATGAAAGCAGGAAGCAGCAACCAGATTTCTGGAAAAAGAAGCAAGGAGAGCAGTTAAGAGAGAGAGAGGCCAGTCATACACTCTGTAGATACCCCACTTGGTCGTGACAGCAGACTTAGTCATCCACTGCTTACCACCACCCAGTTCTCAGAGTGCACGAGATGGACAGGGCCCTTGGCTTTCTTCTGCACGGAGGAGTGGACGATGCGTCCAGTGACACCATCGATGAGGAAGATGCCAATGAAGGTACGCTCTTGATGCGTGTCCGTGCTCTCTGTCACCACCGCCAGGAGATTGGGGTTCAGGCTCTGGGGAAGAAGAGGGAAAGAACTCCTTCAGAACTACAGTGGCACATTATGAGCAACAACACTTCACTGTGAGGCATTTGGAGCTTGGGCTTGGCAGAGGAATTGGACTTTCTGGCTAACAGACTGTGTTTCATATTTGGAGCTCTGGTAGCGTAGTGGTTATGAATCGGGCTGCGAACCTTAAGGCCAGCAGTTCGAAACTATCAGCTGTTCCGTGGAAGAAAGATGAGGCATTCTGCTCCCGTAAAGATTTACAGCCTCGGAAACCCTGTACAGGGTCGCTATGGGTCAGAAACGACTCGACAGCACTTAACAACAACAACAACAGTGCGCTCACTTAGCGTCTATATGAGATGGTCCCCACCTGTCATGTCATTAATCCCCTTCATAACCTTGAAGTGTGGTTGTTATCTACATCTCACACATGAGGAGAGTCTTAAAGAAAGCAAATGGTAAGCCAAGATAAAACCCAGGAGAGCCCACTCACTGACTGAAGGGCACTCCTCCAGCAATGTCACTTCCCACCACCAAATGCTTCTCAAGGTCACCAGTGCCCTGATCACAAAACCCAATATCCATTTTCAGTTCTCGTCCTACTTGACCTACTAGCATCACGGTGACCATTCTCTCCTTGACACACTTTCTCCGAACACTTGGCCTCCGTAACTCCCATGCCCCTAGTTTTCCTCTGCCTTACTGACCACTGCTCTGTCTCTTCTGCAGATTCCTTGTCTTCGTGTTATGATTACACTGTCCCCTCAGATAGCTTTGTGTCCATTAGTTCTCTCTCTAATCGCCCTCCCTTTACCACTAACGAGAGTGGTAACACAGACGTGGAATGCTACTTGGCTAGCGCACTAACAACCAGGACAATAGTTACCTTCGGCTGGTTGGTTATCACACAGGCCAGGCATTGTGCTACACATGAACATACCATGTCACCATCACTACAGCCATAGGAGGAGGCTTTATTATTAAGCCCATTTTGCAGACAATAAAACTAAGACTCAGAGAGATGAAATGCTCAAGGTCATATGGCTACCAAACCCTAGTGTCAGGCTTCAAAACCTCGCTTTCCTAAAGCCTTAGCTGTGTGTGACTGCTGTGTTGTACCTTATAGAGCACACTCCGATCTCCCATCACTCGGCCCTGGGAGTGCACATGCTCACTGCTGCGCTTCCCCTTCACCATGACGATCCGCTGCACTTCCGGAGGGATGGTCAGCTCCCAACTCAATTCAGTGGTGAGGTCCTAGAGCAAGGGCAAAAGAGCCAGCACTGGTGACTGGGTGGGCTTAACCCAACTCACAGCTAGAGCGAGATAAGTTCTGGAGTTCAGTACTTGTCACCTTTGTGCCCTATGGAGCAGAGATCTATTTTCATCCTGGGGATTCCCAGAAAAACAATAACCATTTAGAACTCCCAATTTGATTTTAAAAGATACTAAAGCCAGTAAGAAATTAGAGAAATCCTTGATAATGTTCCATTATCTGAGCAGGACATGCCCAAGAAAAAAAAAAAAAAAAGCATTTATTACCAGAACCTAAGAACCCTACAGGCTGGAGCCCACAATGAGTTACCGAGCTGGCAGCAACCTGGAAAGGTTTCCTGTGTAGTTCTGTATAGTCCCAGGAACCCAATAATTAAACATTTATGATTAACTAAATTATTGTACATCCATACCATAGAATTTCATGGCGCTACTAAAACATGCTGAGGTACCACTGAGGGTGGGGTAGTACTGAAAATGGATCCAGGGCCTTCTGAGGTAGTGGTGTCATTCTGCCATCTGATTGCCATTGGTATCGTGTACATTTTCAGGGAGCTCTACTGGCACAGTGATTAAGCACTTGACTGCTATTTGAAGAGTCAGTGGTTTACATCAAATAGCAAAGCTATCATCCCCTCTGTACACAGGGTAGATAGGGATGGGTAACTTAGACAATGGCTACCTAAAATGAGGGGGCAATAAAGGCACGAAGTGACTGGCTTACAAGGTTTCAAGAGTTTAGTTTAAGAGTGTGTTGGGGAAGAAAGAGTCCCCACTGAATAGTTTTCATCTTGTCTAGATGGGTCTGGTGTAAAGAGATGGGGATACGATTCTTATGATTCAATAGTAATTGTCATCATGACTAATTGTGACTGTCACACTTGTAAAGGTAGAAGTTTTGTAACAAAAACGGGGAAGTAGTTAATCTTACAGTCCACAAACAAAGGACCCTAGGACCATCAAGGGAGAAGAGCACAAGCAGAATGCGGGACCCTATCCAGAGAAGCAGCAACACCAGAGATGGAGGCAGAGATGAGGACATGGAGAGAGGGAGCAGCTGAGGACTCTAGATTCACGGAAAGAGAGGGACTGGGTGCTGGCGGCCAGGAGGCAGGCTTGCAGAATGTGCCCTTTGGTTGTTTAAATTATTATATATGCCTGAGTGTTTAAAAAGATAAAAAAAGAGCTAAAATGAACAGAGAGAAATACTTTCAACTGATGGTACATGGAGGGGATTATAATCATTGTAATGAAACAAAGTATTTGATTTGTTGAATGTAAAACTGATGATCCATCCTGTAAACTTTCACTCAAGTCACAATAAAAGCAAACAAACAAACAAAAGGCAGTGGTTTGAACCCATCAGCTACTCTGAGGGAGAAAAATGTGGCCATCTGCTTCTGAAGAGATGTGAGCCTTAGGAAACTCTCTAAGCAGCTCTACGTTCTCCTATAGGGTCAGTGTGAGATGGAGTCAACTGGACAGCCACGGGTTTGGGTTTTCTGGCTGCTTTTATGAAGATACACTGAACTGGAACCTTGTGATTTCTGTACTTTTCTGAATGTATATTATACAAGGATGAGTAAAAAATTATCCACACTCTGGTTATATTAAAACATTAGTCCACGTCCACAGCTGACGACAACACTGAGCATACAAGTGAAAGGATTCTGTCAAATACATGAGTGATAGTGGATTGTGTGGCAAATCATTTGCATATCAGCCATGGCTCTTACTATGAAATAATCCATGACAAACTTGGGTTGTGAAGAAGTTTGTGTAAGATGGGTACTGAAATAACTCACAGAAGGACATACACAAAAGCGTTTGGGCATCTGCAAACAAAATGTGGACTGATACTTAAAGGAAAGTAAAAGTTTTTTTAAAAAATCATTACTGGTGACAAGACATGGATTCATCACTACGAGCCTGAAAATAAATAGCAAGGGTATGGAATGGAAACATCCTAAATCGCTAACCAAGAAAAAATTCAACAGTCAACCATCAGCAGGAAAACTGATGCTTACAGTTTTCAGGGATTCTCAAGGGCCAGTATTGGAACACTATCAAGATAAAGGTTCAACAATCAACAGTGCTCATTACAGTGAGATGCTCACTGAAAAGCTGAAGCCTGAGTTTCAGGTTAAACGCAGAGGACTGCCATCCAAGAGAGTTGTGATCTTGAATGACAATGCATGTCCTCACAACTCAGACATTCTGCAAAAACTTAGTTTTGAGGTGTTAAAGCATCTTCCCTATAGTCCAGATATTGCTCCATCGGACTTTCACCTGTTTGGTCCCCATAAAGCAGCCCTTTGAGGATGAAGATTCACCTCTGATAAAGAAGTGAAGACAGTGGTGCATTTGTGGCTTAAAGCTCAGCCTAAAACACTTCTTAATAAGGGAATATGAAAGCTTGTGGATAGATGGACAGAGTGTATTGAAAAGCAAGGAGATAATGTCGAAAAATGATGTACTTGCCTTTTCCAAAAGTTAATTAAAATAAAATTCTACAGCCAGAGTGCAGATAATTTTTGACTTACCCTTGTACTTTAAATAGGTTTGTTTTAAAAATAATGAAGCTGTTGTTGTTGTTGTTAAGTGCCGTGGAGTCAGTTCCGACTCATAGCGACCCTGCACAGGGTTTCCGAATAATGAAGTAGAAAACACATTAAATAAAAAAAGCAAATTTCAAAATAATATAATTTGATCTCGTATGAACAATAAAAACTACATGTATGAAACTATATTTGCAAGGGAGCTTCAAAATGTTCGTAGAAAAATGGGATTTAAAACAATGGAATTTTTCTGCGGGCTTTTTAAAGCCCCTTACTATGTGGTCCCACTGCTATTTAAGCTGTCCTCTGATGTACTGTAATACACAAGAAGGGCTGGAGGAAGACTCAGCAGGGAAGGGACTGAAGGTGTCCTGTCACATTTCACTTACTGACTTCTGTGTCAATTTCATCTTCTACAATTAGAACACTTTCATGTACTGCTTTGAAACAAAATTTAAGATCACATCATTTTTCTAATAATAAATAAGCCTCCAAGAAAACTCAAAGCCTCAATGATGAAGATCAACACATGAGAGGAAGACAGTCATATTCCCCGGAGGTCAGAGACTATTGAGAATAGATTTGGTTTATGTTCCCTCTTCAGATGGGCTCCTTTGTTTTCCCTTAGCCACTGATGACACCCTCAGGGCTCCAGTTTCTCAGGACAACCACATTCCAGCTTGCTCCCCTCCATCCACTATCTTTCATGACTCCCTTTTTAACAACTTGGAGAAATAATTTTTTTCTACCCATGAGGGTAAAAATGTTTTGTCTAAATACAGTTGTGTAAAAATTTAAATGAATAGGATTTTACTGGGCATCACCACAGCATTAAAAGTGAGCATTAATCTTGTAGTATCATCAACACTAACTTGTTCCTTTTCATGAAACTGCTGCTGGGGAACCAGTTGTTTCTGCAGAGGTTCAAGGGAAAGGTCTTTTGAAACGTGCACAAGTTCTTTTTGTTTATCAGCTGTTGTTGTTAAATAGTCAGAAAGTCCTAAACTTCTTCTTGTTAAGTGCCATGGAATCGGTTCCAAATCATAGCAACCCTGCATAGGGTTTACAAGGAGCAGCTGGTGAGTTTGAACCACCAACCTTGCAGTTCAAACCGACCTTGAGGTCAAGTGCTTTTCCTGCAATCCTACAGCACCACACAAGGACTATCTACAGAGCTTTATTTCTTAACTCTTTCATCATTCACAATGTTTATCTTCTTAAGACTTATGCTATCTGGTTTTGCTTTGCTGTTAAAGTTTTTTTGGCTTGCTATGTGAAATACATTCGTAGACTGCTGCCCTCTTCGTTTTCTCTTGACCATTGTTAAATCTTCAATACCAGCGTGTAGCTGCTTAATCCCCAGGTGACACTATCTGTACATACAGGGTGCAGACACTTAAGACTGTGTTTGGGGGCAGGTCATTCCTTTGCTGTTTACGCTAAAGGTTAGCAGTTACAAAAGTCAGGAAAAGAAAATGTATTCTCAAAATAACAACAGTTAAGACTTAGCTTCAACCCCACAGAGTATGGGCCCTAGCTTAACCTCTGTGCTGCATTGCCTGGGGTCTTACAGATGGAGGAGCCCTCTAGTGTGTACACACCACAGATTACTCCTCTACACAGCCCTGTTAGTGAGTCAGAGGCAGCCCTTAGATGCCAAAGCCAGTGTGCATCACTGTTAGTAAGAAGTTAGCCAGTATGTCATGACCAGAGTAATCTACCCAATTGCTAGAAATAAAATTCAAAACACACACTCTGTGAAAAAAATTCATCAACAAAATCATCTTCATATATAAAGGACAACTCATTAGTCAACAACCTTTCCACACACCTCTAAGATCGGAGACAAATGTCCCTTCCCTACAGCAGACATATAGAAATGGGGAATGAAAGCAGAGACTGCTCCACTGTGCACTACTATATCTCCAGCACCTAAAACCACGTAGTAGCTGCTCAATAAATAGGAACTAATGGTTGATTCCTAATCAGACATCAAAATTACAGTTATCTAGTTCACAATATAATGGCTACCTTAATTCACTTCTTAGTCAAATTACCAAAAATAACCACACCCCCATCCCATAAGGGTCCTATGGAAAAAGCGCTGGGCCCCTTTCCTACCTTCCGAAGCCGATACCCACTTAGCCGTCCCTGCTCGGCATCCACCAAATAGAAGAAGATGGAAGGGGCGAGTTCATGTAGTTGTCGCAAGACATTTCGAGTAGCTGGGAAAGCAGTGACCTGGAAAACCCAGACAGTCCAAGAAAACAGTTAAAGGAAAGACTTAGAAATCTCTAAGCCCAGTTTCCCAAGATTCATTATTATTTCCCCATCAGAAGAGAGTCTTAGGACTAAAAAAGCAAGTCTTCAAGGAATGAAACAGCAACTGAATTCAATTCTGAGTTAAATTTAGCCCTGTAAAGAACCTGAGGTTTTTTTATAAGAGCAGAAAGAATGATTAATCAAGTTGCTTACAGATGCTCCTGGAACCCAAACATGTGCTGACTGAATACAGCACTCCACCTCTGGTCCACTGACAACTATCTGACTGCCCCCTCCCCACACCCAATTCCATTCTGAAGATATGGTACCTTGTACTCATCATCTATCAACAGCAACACCTTGGCATAGTCTTGATCCATGATGGGTAGAAGCAAGGACTGCAAGATGGGGCGCTTCAGTACTGGGGGAGCCACCTGGCTCCACTTCCCAAAAATGGGATTGAAGACATAAAGAGAGCTCATTCCTGTCTCCTGAAAGAGGCAGTCAAACCGTCAGACTCCACACCAGCGTAAAAAGAGTGCAAGTCCTGGGAAGCTGGGATTTCAGCTCAACTGTGAGGGAGTCCTGAGTCTCTGCCCTCCGTGTAGAAAATAATTTCTTGGCTGAAGGTGAGTGTTCTCCTATGCTAATATCAAAATGAAACCAGCCCAAATCTAACCAAGAATTGGATGTATTAAAAAACAAAAAGATGCAGGACAGCCATTCGTAAAGTGTCTAAAAGCCCCATTCACAGGAACCCTTGAATGAATCCATAAAAATCTTATTTTGGCAGAGGAAGGTACAAATCACTTCATGTCCTGCTGTCTCTCATACAGAGAAGGGAGAACAGCCGCTGACAACAGCTTACACTTGGGAAGGAAGAGAGCTGGCGTACTACACATCTAGCTGATGAAGGCACACAGCCTTTCCACATCAGTGCTGATGTTTCCTCCCCCTAGGCCAGAAACAGGAAGAGAAAGACCTCTAATCCCGGAATGGCCCTAACTCGCACAGAATTCCAAGGGCCTAGGAGAGATTTAAATTACAACACATCAAAAAAAACTAAGCCAGGGGTGGCTTGAGGGCCTCACCTTGTCCTTCACTAGGAGGGTGCACTGCGGAGGGTGAGGGAAGTGAGCAGTTGTTCTCTGCACCATCAGTTTAAAGGAGGAGTCTGGCTTGACATTGGGTAGATACTGTTTCCACAGAATGGTGCCAGAGCTGCTCTCAATGCCAAAAAGCTGCAAAGTAAACAAATATCTGGTTCAGAATGAAAAAAGACCACCCCAAACATCGATTTTCACCTGGAAAATTAGCACCAGTGCTATCCCCTAGCAACAAACTGAACTTCAGAAGGTTTGGTGCTTGGGGTTTCAAGCCCTCTCACCTTGCCTGCAGCTGTGGCCATCACCATCATCTTTTGCAGGTTGAATTCATCTCTGGCCAGGGTGTCGATGTTTATCTCATTCTTAATCTGACTTCGGGGCTTCCGAGCATCATAAAACATTTTCCAGAGGTGGGCAGTCCAGGCTTGCAGCAGGATGAGCTGAGACGAGAGGCGTTTCAGGAACATCCCCAGCAAGCCGTCTGGTGTCAAGGAAAAGGTAATGCAGCTGAGGCCCAGTCAGCAGACTAGATGTTTCCGGCAAGGAGGCACTGGCTTTTCCCAGTGAGGGATGCTCTCTGTCCTGTGCAGCAACCACATCATTCACAGCCCAGGCCACAAGGGGCAGGCCTGTGTCCGACACCAATGGTCTCACTCAGGGCTAGCCATGCGGAAGCTTCTAAGGCTTACTTACCTGTCTCTTAGCTACTTCACCTGCCTACAATCTTTCAAGAGGAGACTAAGAGGTTGGGGTGCAGGCATGCAGGATGCAGCCATGCTGTGAGGGTTCTGACACAGCCCACATTCAGAAAGGCCCTAAGAAAGCCTCTGGCTGCCGTGAGAAAACCACAGGAGGCAGGCTGCTAGGGACTGCGGGTGCAGCTGTAGGTAGATCATGAGCAGTTACTTCCATTCCCACCTGCTGCATGTCTCCTTTGTCAACTGTTTAACCAGCACCAACACACCTACCTACATCCACTTCCCAGTGGCAATGGAGGATAAGCACTGGACTGCTAATCCCAAAAGCAAACCCACCAGCTGTTCTATAGATGAGGCCGTCTGTTCCCGTAAAGAGCTTCAGCCTCGGAAACCCTGTATTAGGTCGCCATTGGGTTGGAACAACTCGCTGGCAGTGGGCTATCCTTCTCTGTGCCCTGCCCCACTATCAACAAGGCCATACCCTTCAAATCTCCTCCACAGCACAATGTGGTCACAGATGGCGGGCAGCAGTGCGGAGCATAGTCTCTGAAGTCTGACAGGCCTGGATCACAATCCCAGCCCTGCTATTTGCTGGTGTCTGACCCTGGGGAATGTCCTTGCCTTTGTGCCTCTGGTTCCTCATCTATACAATGGCATGCTTCCTGTAGGGCTGCTAAGAAGATTCAGTCACATATGTACACACAGGATTTAACACAGTGCCTGCTGTTGCTGTTTGCATGCTAGTAGTTTCTGACTTACAGTCACCTCAGAGGGTTCTGAGGTGCAGTTAGCCGTCCAGTGCTGACCCTACAGAACTCCAGCACAGGATGCCTGGTACATAGTACACACACATTAAAAAGGAGCTGTACCTCTATTTATGTATCCTCTACCTCCAGTCAATGAGCAGAGAAGTGACAGCAAACAGGACACGTCACAAGCATGGCAGTTCACACACACACACAGTATGTACCTCATGATGTAAATCAGGAAAAATCAGTAACCAAAAGCTAGCATGTGGGCAGGCAACAAGCAACAAGGCAGCAAGAAACAGGCGTTACCTTGAATCGCTGGGTCCAGGCAGCAGAAACAAACAGTAAAGTCAAATTAATCCTTGGCTCAAGAACACGTGCAGTGCCTAGCAGGGTGCCTGGCCCACAGTGGACCCTCAAACTGTGTGGGGTAGCTGGGTCAATGGGCAGAAGGGAGACAGGTGGAAGGTAGGACTCAAGTCCTGGAGGGGATGGGACTGTGGCAGGCTTTAGAGGGCCCTGAGTTGTTACCATAATACTCAGATCAGCCCAGATATAATTTTCTACAAGGGTAGAGGGCTCTTGCTTTCAGGACAGTGGGTGTAAAGCATCTGACAAACTGCAGGCACTCAGGCAATGGTCACTCATGGTCTATCTCTAGAGGGATTCACAGCCAACTTTCAGAGAAAACGATGATTGTATAAGGCATATAAATTATACGTAGCGGATTAAGGGCTGGATTGCTAACTGCAAGGTCTACAGTTGCTCTGTGGGAAAAAGATGAGGTTGTCTGCTCCCATAAAGACCGATAGCCTCAGGAGCACTAGACAGAGTCACTATGAGTCGGAACCACCTTGGTGACACACAATCCCCATAAGGCATATGGCACCAATGCACTAGAAAGTGGTCACAGAGCTACTTCAGAAGAGACTGGCAACGTGCCTGAGCCCAAGCAGCCAGGACACTGTGAGTCTGTCTCTGTGGTCAACCACAAACCCACTCCCCGGGTGTCCACATCCAGCAAACCCACTGTCCCCAGCCCTGAGGTTCCTACCTGCCTTTTTGCCAAATTCTCCTTCCAGCTCAGCCTGTGCCCCCGTCAGAGGGAGATCCACCATCTCGAGGCACAGCACTTCCGCCAGTGACTCCTCACGGCTCCACACCACCACCTTCCCTGCTACAGAAAGCCACACTGTCAAAGGTCAAACCTGCCCCCTCTGACCTGAAGGGATTCCTCTAGGGGCTCACTGCAGTGCTAGAAAGAGTGTAGCAAAGGGCTGCCACCAACAGGTCAGGGGAGAAAAGCACACCCCAGGATACTGAGGAATTATTCAAAAGCTGATGACATTTGGCTCTGGAAAAAAATACTCAGCGTGAACTCCACTTCCCAGGAACCAGTCCACAGCCCAAACTTACAGGAAGGTCTCAAAAAATGGGTTGACTGAGGTCACTTACCCAGCTGCTGAAGGAAAAGGAGCAGGTGATCCTCCGTCTGGACTAAGGCTCGGTAGCCCACTGAGTCGTCCTTCTTCAAGAACACCTGGATGTACAGCTATCAGCAAGAGTCAAGACACGGCAGTCAGTGGGAACCCAGTGCCTCTCACAGCACCAGAGCCCGAGGCTCAGAGCGCCAGGTGTGGTTTGAGGTCACAGTACTCGCTGATGCCTACATGCTACAGCTACTCCCTCCACTGAGACAGCGCAGACACGACCCTACAGAGTCGAGCCCTTCAGGAGCACCACTCAGTCATCCACCTCTATCAGACCCCACAGAGTCCTTCCATCTGAGAGCTGAAGAAGCCATAGCCCCGAGAGATTCTGGAAGAGAATTCGCTATACACAGAGGCAATGGTGAGTGGGGATTAATTAAAGGTGCCAGCAGGCTGCAAACAGAGAGAGACCTGAGTATGAATCCAGCAGCACCTCTTCCGAGCTGAGACCAGACAGGTACTGAAGCTCACCAGTTTCCTTCTTTGAAAGCCAAGGTCAGTACTAACCAACCCCCAAGAGGGTTATGTCAATGAATACATGTCAAAAGCTTAGCACAGATCATCCAGAAGGATTTATAACAAGAAGCAGGCTCAGGAGGAACCGAACACACATCCAGAGCCCTAATTGAGGGCATAGGACCTGGCGCTGAGGAGAGGAAGCCCTGGGAGGAGACACCCACAGGATGAAGTCTCACCCGCTCAGGCCGAGTGCCGTTCTGTTCCAGGCTAAACGTGATCGTGGTGTCGAGCAGCCGTCGGCCTGTCTCCACCAAGTAGAGGTTAATGGTATAGGTCTGGTTGAAGCAGGTCAGGGAATCCTAGAGGTAGAGAGCAGGCAGTTAACTCGAGGGACGCGCAATGCAACTTCCCAAGGAGTCCAAGGATCGGGGCAGACATCCTGGAAAAGGAGCCAGGCCACAGGAAGGATATGCACAGGAAAATAAAAATGGAAGCTAAATCGCAGGTGCAAAGAAGATATTTGAGTAAATAAAATCACAAGTACTATGATTATTTTGAAGTCCTGGTGTGCTGTAGGATAAGCACTGGACTGCTAATGGAAGGTTGGTGGTTCAAACCTGCCAGCCACTCCTAAAGAGGGTCGCTATGGGTCAGAACTGACTTGACGGCACATAACAACAACAAATGATAATAAAGACCATGCTTGTTTTAGGAGTCCCTGGATGGTGCAAATGGTTCCCTTGTCTGGCTGCTAGCCAAAAGGCTGCAAGTGCAAGTTCACCCATAGACATTTGGGAAGGAAAGTCTGATGATGTTTCTAAAAACTAAGCCATTGAGAACCTTACAAAGCATACTTCTACTCTTATACATATGGAGTCACCATGAGTGGGAATTTACTCAATAGTAACTGTTTGGTTTTGGATTATATTGTTGTTTGTTTTACGTTTTTATTGTAAATTATATGATAGTTTACATGAGAGAACATCAGCCTTACATTCATCCAATCGTATCTCTTCACTGCCATGGTTACAGTCCCCTCCATGCATCATCAAACAACCAAAAGTTATACCCTGCAAGCCTGCCCCTCAGTCATCAGCACACAGCCCCTCTCTCTCTCTGGGTCTAGAGTCCCCAACTGCTCTATCTCTCCATGTCATCGTCTTTGCCTCCATCTCTGGCATCACTGTTTCTCTGGGTAAGGTCCTATACTCCACTCTTCTCCCTTGATGGTCCCAGGAACCTCCGCTCCTGGACTGCAAAGTCAATCACTCCCCTCCTTTTGCTACAAAACATCCACCTTACATTTCCAACCCTCACAATCAGTCCTGATAGCAATAATTCACTATTGTACCACAAGAGATCTATCCGTATCTCCTTTCATCAGCCCCTCCCAAACAGATTGGATATTACTCAGTGGAGATTCTACCTTCCTCCACATCCTCTGGATTAGGCTCCCTCTTGAAAGCGTGTAAGCCAGTCACTTCTTGCCTTTATAGCCTCCCCCATTTTGGGTAGCCTATGTCTAAGTTGCCCATCCCTGTCTACCCTGTGTATCAAGGGAATGATCCTTGATATAAAGAGTTGTTCCCCCTTTTGAGTTACTGCATCCATAAGTGTAGGTCAAGTTCATCAAATTGTGTCAGATTACTCTTTTTTCCCTCTTCTTTCTTCTTCTAGACGAGTTCTCATCATCCAGGCATTGAAGCCAGGTCAAGTGGGTATTATCTGCAAGTGTGGGTGTTCTTGTGCATCTCCCCTTACTTCTTATCAGCTGGACGTTTCACTCTCCACTCTTAGTCCTCTATGGCTATGTCACTGTCTCTGGGCCTAGAAGTCCCTAGGTCTCGCCACACTGCTGGCCAACCAGGTCTCAACCCGGGTTCACAGGAGTCTATTGAACGTGGTAGGACTTAGCTCACAGCTTCATTGCTGTTTTTCCCTCACTTCCCTTTATCGGTAACCAACATGGTCACCAGTCAGGCCACCTGTCTGCTCGTGTATTCCCCTTGAGTCTTAGTCTTGGAAGGGGGTTTGCCCAGAGGGGACCCGACCACTTGCCTTAATGTCTCCTGGGCAAGCAGCTTGCTTGTTCTTTTTTTTTTTTTATTTGGCTTTTTTCAATGATTGTTTTAGATGGGAGCTAATATAATGTACCAGATTTCCTAAAGAGAGATAAAAACTGTGAACACAGGCTTGGAGTAAAATCCTTTCAGAAAAACTTAGTAGGTAGGAAGCCACAGCAGAAATCTACACCTCCCATGGGGCCATATGCTTCTGCTTCATAGGCTTCATATGCAACTGCCACTTAATGCTCCGAGCTGGACTTGCAAAGAAATGGAAGACTGAGACGCAGAGGGGAGAGTGGTTAGGAATAAATTCTAGGGAGTCTACCTTCTAAACACTCAAGGATCAAGAGAGACGCCATTTAATTTATAGCATTCAGATACCCTGTTTGAGGCGGGAAGTGCAGACCTGCTCTAGCCTAAGCTGTGGCCCCACCTCGCCGGGGTGGCCCCGTGTCCTCAGGCCTAGCACAACCACCCAATGCCACACCCTACCTTTGGACTAGACTGCTCCGAAATGCTCCCCATTGGACCATCTTCAGAACTGCTAGGCTTCTGCTGGGGAGAAGAGGGGAGAGAAGTCAGCCGAAGGGTCACTTCCCAGTCACCAGCCTTCATTTCTGAGCCTTCTCCGTATTCAGAAGCTGGTAAATCTCATTCTCATCCCTGCCCAGTGAAAGTGCGGTCTTCATATAAGGGTCTCATTCCTTGGAGAAGGAAAGCTCTGCAGAGGAAGTGAAAACTTATTTCTCAATAGCCTCCTGCCCGCCCCCCTCCAGCCCCCCACAGGCAAACGTGCCCAGATTTCTGATTGTCGGGGTTCTTGGCAGAGATGAGGATGGAAAAGCCTAAATGCTGACTGTTCCTCTCATACTCACCGCCTCACTCAGACAGCTCATGACGGCGGCCACTGTCTTCTCCCCAGTAGTGGCCAAGCTCACCAGGGCAGTCTGGGGAAAAGACAGGGAGTCAGCTCTCCAGAGCCTGCAGCCTTACAAAGGTCAGCTCGTCAGTGCAGCTGATGGACTGCCATGTGAAATGGATGTGCATGCCCCAGACTCTGGGTTAGAAAACAACTGCGAGGGGATCTGAGCACAGAGAAAGGCTCAGCTGCATGTCTAGCTGAAAAGAGAACTCTCCCCAACTCCAACACAGGCATGGGTCCATCTTGAATCCCAGATGCCTAGAGTACGGACAGGGAAGCTCACCTTTATGCCCCCAGAGAGAAAGGAGCTAGTTTTAATCCAAATGACCCCTGTAACTCCTACTGAGAAGAAGTACCCCACTACCCTTTATGAGGTCACCCCCTCTGAAAGCTCTTATGAAAGATGACATCAATTGTGCTCTCAAAGAGCAAATATCTTCAGATTCAAAGGCAGGTCAGGTGCTTCTAGCCCCCATGTCTTGGGTAGACCTTCCTGAAGCCAGTTTGTTACCTGTGGGAAGTTTTTGAGCAGGCTCAGGACGCCGTGGTGGTAGTGCAGCAGAGCATAGTGGCTTGGGGACAACTGCAGGAAGAACTGGGCCCGAGAAGGATCCACTGGGTTGGGCTGCGTGGCCAGGATGCGGGGTTGGAATCCACTTGCAAGTTCTAAATCGAGAGACTGAGAGACAAGAGGGATTAGGGCTAGACGCTGACAAGTCACAGATCTCTCCTGGGTAGCAGTGTCTGCCCCATTCTGCTACTGAGAGTAACTAGGCCACAGCATTCAGCCCCAGAAGCTCACGTGCAGGTTCCCCAAGGGGAACAGTGGCCCATTTCTCCTGACATCCAGTCAGACAAAGCCTTGAATGTCTTCTGATGGCTGCCACTACTCAAGAAGGAAGCAGTGACACCGACAAAAAGACTTCCTGGGCAATCATGCTCACCTTTCTAAATCCTTGGCCATAGCTCAAGTCTCTCACCTGCAGTGGGATCTGCCTCAGCTCCCACTCCGTCTCCAGGGCCAAGGTTTGGAGGGAACGCGAGCTCGGGTCAGGGCACACGAGGACTGCCTCATCCACCACACCACAGGTTCCAATAAGACTCTGCAGCCATGGGGTCGAAACCCTGACCTATAGGGCAAGATGTCAAAACAGGAGGGTCACAATGTTTACATTTCCTTATCAGCTCATCAGCAATATCACTACCAGACCACATGGGCAGGTCTGATGCTCAAAGGTTCTTTGTGGTTAGTTCTAAAGTCCTTCCTGTCCCCCCAGTCTCCCAAGGGCCTCCCCAAGCCAACGAGAATCATTATTTTCTTTCTGGCCACTGGACAAATACACTTATAATTTTAATACATGCCACTTCAGGTAAACATTTCCCTTCTATATAGGCTACCATACATTACAAACATGGTAGAAAAATGCTTACTTGAAGAGTTGTGTATTAAAATGGTATCCTATCATTATTTTAAGGAGCTCTGGTAGCGTAGTGGTTACAAATTCGGCTGCTAATCTCATGGTCAGCAGTTCGAAACTACCAGCTGTTCCACAGGAGAAAGATGAGGCTTTCTGTTGTAAAGATTTACAGCCTCGAAACCCTGTACAGGATCGTTATGAGTCAGAACTGACTCCACGGCACATAACAACAAAAACATCATTATCTTGGAGTCCTGGTAGGGCACTGTAAGCTAATGTGCTGAACTGCAAAGTTGGTTTGAACCACAAGGTCAGCGGTTCAAGTTCACCAGCTGCTCCTTGAAAACCCTATACAGGGATGCTATGCGTCAGAACCAACTCGATAGTACTTAACAACGACAACAATCATTTTTTGGGAAGCCCGGTGGTTCTGTAGGATAAGCATTGGACTGCGAACCACAAGATCAAGGGTTTGAACCCACTAGCTGCTTCACAAGAGAAAGACGAAGCTCCCACAAAGATTTCCAGCCTGGGAAACTATCTACAGGGTTGTTGAGTGGGAATCAACTCCATAGCATCTAACAACACTGACATCACTACGTAAGAGCTTCTTTTAAGGATAGACATCGACTGGGCCAATGCACTTTTAAGGGTAGACATCGACTGGGCCAATGCACTTTTAAGGGTAGACATCGACTGGGCCAATGCACTTTT